GTTGAACAGTGTGGTTTATGCATGAAGACATCTGCCAAAGGGGGGTGCAGGAGCATGTGGCCTGAATCCAGCCTGTGCTCCGTGCTAGTGTTTCCAAATTCCTGACAGATATTCACCATCAAGATTCAGGAATAAGAAAGCAGAACTCCCAGGAATTCTCAGGAATTCAAAATTGTAAGTTATTCTGTATTCTTCCTAATATTTCATTTACATGTTTTTAAATAATAATGAGTGATCATAATAATAGTGAATTATTCCCATAATAATAGTAAGTGAATCATTTTTTGTGGTAGAGTTATGCTAAAAATTTTCAGAGGTTTTCTTTTAAAAAAAACTACACAATAAATGCATGGTTTATTATTATTATGAGCCAGTCTATGTGATGCAATTATATATTGCATGTAAAAATCATCTCTACCTGATATAAACATTTGGTAATAGAAAACAATGAATGAGGAGAACACTAACACAAAATAAATGCCAAATAAAAAGCATTGTAGAAATTCACATGATATAAAAATATTTAATATCTATAAAATATCATTCTAAAAATGAAATTTAAAACACAAAACATTAATTTTCCTCTCCAATAGTCTTGATCTTTCTTTGATGACAAATAATCCAAACCAAAAAAATATTTCTTTCATTTTGCATTGATGTTGATCAAATCATTAAGAGGCTTGCAAAAAAATCAACAAGTTGAGCATTACTGTACCATATAAGCTCATATCCCTCTTTAAATATGAAAATATTTTATGTATTTATTTTATTTTTAATTGACAAATAATAATTATTTATCAGATAGGATGTGATGTTTTGATATATGTTTACATTGTGAAATAACAATTAATTAAAGCCAATTTAAATTTTAAAGAAGTTAAATAAAGCTAATTAAGTAAAGCTAATTAACAAATCCATCACCTCACACACACCTATTTTTCGTGGTGAAAACATTTAAAAACCACTCCTTTAGCAATTTTGAAATATATAATGCACTATTATTTGTTATAGTCACCATCTATGCAATAGATCATTAAAGCTGATTCCTCCTTCCTAACTGAAATTCCATACCCTTTGTCCAACGTCTCCTGTTTTCTGGTCCACCGCCCTCCCCCAGCCTCTAGTAAACACCATTCTATTCCTTTCTATGAGTCTGACTTTTGTAGATTCCACATATAGGTGAGATCATGTGGTATTTGTCTTTCTATGTCTGACTTATTTCATTGAGCATAATGTTCTCCAGGTTCATCCACATTATCATGAATGACAGAATTTCCTTCTTTTTTCAGGCTGACTAGTATTCCACTGTGTATATATACATTTCTTTATCCATTCATCCAAATGATGGACACCCAGGTTGCTTCCATATCTTTGCTCTTGTGCAAAATGCTACAATTAACAAGAAAGGGCAGCGATCTCTTTGGAATACTAATTTCAATTCCTTTGGATATATACTTAGCAGTGGGACTGCTGAATCATATGGTGATTCTGTTCGTAGTTTTCTGAGGAACGTCTATACTGTTTTCCATAGTGGCTGCATTAACTTACACTCCCACCAACAGTACACAAGAGTTCCCTTTCCCTTTTCTCCACACCCTCATCAACACTTATCTTTCAGCTTTTTGATAACAGCCATTTCAACAGGCATGAGGTGATATCTCATTGTGGTTTTAATTTTCATTTCCTTGTTAATGAGTGATGTTGAGCATTTTTTCATAAATCTGTTGACCATTTGTATGTCTTCTTTCGAGAAATGTTTATTTAAGTCCTTTGCCCATTTTTAAACCAGGTTCTTGCTATTGAGTTGACTTCCTTAAATACTTTGGCTATCAGCCCCTTATCAAAGGTATGGTATGCAAATGTTTTCTCCCAGTCCATGGGTTGTCTCTTCACTCTTTTTTTTTCCTTTTTGTCTTTTTTACTGACCGGCAATGGGATCGCAACCCTCGGTGTCGC